GAAACCCGTGGGGATTACAATTGAGATGAAAAAAAAATGTGCAAAATGATGTAAAAATAAACTTTTTAATAAAAAAAAAAAGAAAAAAAAATGGTTATGTATAAAGATGAATGTTAATTACTTCAAAGCTGATTTTTCTGTATAAAATTACACTGCTAAGCAAATAAGACTTCATACAAATAAAATTAATTTGAAAAGTTAGTGCCTATAATATAAATATATAGGTGTACAGTATGAATCAGGATAAAATTTTTCTAATAGTTTATATCAACTATTTAGTCAGAAGTTTCCAGAGCCAACATTTTGACATCCTAAAACTCTGAACATTTATTTTTAGCACATTCTTTTAGTATGACTACAAACTGATCATTAAAAGCAAACAGCCTGAACTAAAAAATATTTCCCAGCTTTCTTCCCACCTTTATTGTCATTTTAAAACCATCAAAATGAAATATAAATAGATAAGAAAATATCTGACTGTTGTGTACATTCTTCATGTACTCCATAGGTCACAACCAAAAAGCTGGTGGGACAATCTTTCCTCCCTTTAAGTATATAATTTGACTCATTTAAAAAAACTGTGGTAAAGAGAAACTGATGTCTATTAAAAGTTCAAGATACTTATCTTGTAAAACAAAACAGAATATGTAGTATACAAACATGTGTAACCTAACATCAATTTTTGAAAGCAATATATGTTGAAATTAAAAAGGAGAAAGGAGGACTATGCTAACAAACAAATCTGCAAATCAAAGTGTTCAATATGCCGTTTTAATCATATTTGTTCTTTCCTTAATTCAGCCTACATTAGTTATTATTGCAAATTAAACCAAAAGAAATTACTATTTAAGGTAAGTCATAGGTTTGGTCCTTTGGTATAAGGCAGGCAAATCACCACAGATTTAATTTAGAAGACAGTGCAAAGCACAAGGTAATACAGATAAAGTTAGGTATTTGACATTTTTCTGGGCAAAGCTGAAAACTGAAACTTTTTCATAGTTTTTCTCAATTTTCATCTCAAGATAAAGCTTAAAGTTTTATTTCTTGCAAATCAAAACCACAGTGAGATATCAACTTATACCAATGAGAATGGCACGTGTTAGGAAAAAAAAACAAGCAATAACAAATACTGGAGAGGATATGGAGAAAAAGAAACTGATGGGAATTAAACTGTTTCAACCACTATGGAAAGCTGTATGAAGGTTCCTCAGCCTTATAAAAATGGAACTACCACATGATCTGGCAATTCTACTTCTAGGGGTCTCCCCATAGGAGAGAAAAACATTAATTCAAAAGGTTACCTGCACCCCTATGTTCACTGCAGCATCATTTACATATAACAGGTAAGACTTGGAAACAACCCAAAATAGATGACCTGATCAAAAAGATGTGCATATACACAATGGTATACTATTCAGCAATCAAAAGCAATAAACTAATGTCATTTGCAGCAACATGGATGGAGCTAGAAGGATCATGCTCAGTGAAATAAATCAGAAGGAGAAAGAAGACTAGCAGATGGTTTCATTTATAGAAGAAATATAGGGAACCAAAAAAGGGACCAAGAGAAAAAAAAAATGCAACAAACCAAAACAATAAAGAGACAACTATAAATCGGAGACATTCCGCAGGGGAGGAAGAGAGAAAGGGAGAAAGACCAAGAAAGGGAAGGAAGAACACAACAGTCTATGGTGCACTGGTGGTGAAAATTCTATGGGATTACACTGAGACTGCAAACATTGTAGTAAGAAATATATATATATATATATATTTTCCTAACTAAAAAGGAATTTTGATTTCTTAAATAGGGTGACTTCCTAAATTGCTTATGGGGAAAGACTGAAAAATTGAAGTACTTCTATCAATAATTCCATAGTTATAAAAATTATTTGTTGGGAATAAATAGACATTTTCTAAGGTTCAACCCTAATGTCTATTTCAATTATATATAAAAGTTAATATCTGATCATACTCACCTACAAAATCAAAACAGGAGGTGCTCAATGGGACAGACTGGATGAAAAGACCAAAATCTGAAGCAACACGCTCACAAAAGAATAAATGCACCCAGTTGTTAAAAGCACAGACAGCTATAGGAAGCTACATCAAGGGTTCATGAGGGCAGCTTTCAAAAGGAATATATATTCTTATATTTTTAAAGATCAAATATTACTTTTCAAAATAATTTATAAAGGCAAATTTAATTATAACCCTGCTTAAATCTTTTCAATGGCTAACTATTCCCCCAAAGAAACAATGTATCAGCTCAGTATTTCATGACATGACCCATATTCAGCTCCCATTTTTACCACTCCTTGCTTTGCAATCTAAACTATCGCTATTGAGCCTCCCTGATGGGGCAAGGGGTTAAGTATTAGCACTATGAAGCCATCCACAGCACGAATTTCCTTGGCAGGGAGCTAACCCACATGGCACTAACCCACATGACACTAACCTACATGGCACAGCAGATCTCTCTTGCCTAGCCTGCTGCTTTCCCCTCAGCAGTGCATTTCAGTAGATTTGCCTGTTCTGCTCCTCACCCTATCTCTGGTGAATCCTCTCACCATACACTCCCCCACTATCACTGGCTCTCCCTGGTGGCGCAATGGGTTAAATCTCTGCATTATGAAGCTCTCTGAAGCCATTGTAGCATGAGATCAATCCCCCACCAGAGATGTGACCCACCATGGCGTGGCAGACCTCTCCTGACTCACCCTCTGCTCTCCTCAGCAGTGTATTTCAGTAGATCTGCCTGTTCTCTTCCCCACTCTGTCTCTGGTGAATCCTCTCATCCACCACACCTCTGGCCTGTAACCTAGCTCTGTATGCACAAATCTTTAAAAAAAAAAACTGTCACTATTGTTTTAACTGAGATGTATTCATAAACATACTACAATACACTATAATTACTTCCATAGTCTTATTTTTTATAATGTACTAGTTTTTTTATATTTTGTTACTAGTGCATCAGAAATTTATTAAAATGAATAGATTTATAGATTATTATGTAATCAAATATGTATTAATACTTCATTCTAAACTAGTAATATTTTCATAAGTAAAACTGTTATTAATGAATAATCATGTTTCCACCATAACACAGCTTAATAAGAAAGCCTGGTAGTCCCAAATCCCAAATTCTATTTCTCAGTTTAATTTGAACTTAGTATTTAATTTTATTCAATTTATTTTTTTATTTTATTCAATTTATAAGACTAACTACTTCATATTGTTGCCTTTCATTACTTTTTAGCAATTAAGATAAAGGTGAAAGTGTTTTGTTTGCCTTTTCAGTTTCATAGAAAGCAGAAGCAAAGTGAAAAGTTTATAAGTTCTTTCTGCTGTGGAAAGTATGACTGACTATAAAGCAGGACAATATATTTTAACATAGGCAATATTTACTTAAATTTATAAAAATCTACCATATTCAAAATTAAATCAGTCAACTTCTAAATATGCATCACAATATACATACTAATAGAAAAGCTTCATTCATACAAGCTTTCTTTAAGCACTCACAATGAGTCCTCTAGAGCTAATGGACTCTTTTCAAGAATGCTTACCTTGATGATGCACTTTGTTCTCTGAAATTTCTCTTTTAGTATTTGTGGGTGAAGCTGGATTGACCAGTGACGACTCGCCAGAAGACTGTGGTGTAGTTCCAAAATCAGATGAACTATAAGAGTAACGGTGTTTGCCTGACTTATTTTCTTGATCAGTATCTGAACTTTTTCCTCTTTCTCCCATGATCTCTATTCATATAATTTACAGATTTCTTTCTCCAGAAAAATCTATGACAAGTCTTAAGAACATATTTTAAGAGTCGTCAGATCCTGGTAATATTCACATCTGGGAAATTTGTCTTGTCTATTTATCTGTAGTCTGCAAATCACATTCGCAACCAGAAGATACACTTTTACCCTACAATTAAGGAAGGGGGAATGAAACTTATCATATAGTTGTGAAATAGATTTCTACAGTTAAATGATACTAAAAGCAAAATAAAATAATGCATATTAAAAAGTCCTGATTCATTTGTATTTGCACATATATTATTTGATACTTGGGGAAAAGACAATGTTATTATCTACAGATAATAAAATGTAAAGTACCTGAGACTGAAGATAAAATGTAAAGTACCTGATACTTTACAATAATACTATAAAATACTTTATAATAATAATAAAATGTAAAGTACCTGAGACTTAAGAGTCATAATAAACACAAATGCAGATTTTTAACAGACAAGTAATGATCAAATCACCATTTGGGGGGGGGGAGGGACAAGGGTAGAGGGTGGTGACCGTGAGAGGAGGGTAAGGAAGAAGCCTGATAATTAAAAGTAAAGAAATATATAGAAGGTTGACTATATAAATATGTAAAACTGATGTAATAAAATCAACCAAGTTAAAAGAAAAACATTTGATCAAACACAATGGCAAACATGAAAGAAAATAGTTGCCATACTTAACACATAAGTCAATTTCTTATACCATATGACTTATGCCAGGCAATACAAAAGATATACATATAGGAATATTTGTCTCCAGATACCATCTTTTTAAAAAGACTTATTTATTTATTCATATATAATTGGGGTACAGGCCAGAGATGTGGAAGATGGGAGGATTAACCAGAGACAGAGTGGGGAGCAGAACAGGCAGATCCCCCGGGAACTGAACTCATGCAGAAGTGGCTTTAGCTTCTTAGTGCTTTAACCCGTGCCACCAGGGAGGGCCTCCAGATACCATTTTTTAACCTATCAAATTATCAAAGATTTTTCCAAACAACGTTCAAAAATCCCAGAATGGTTATCAAAAAAAAAAAAAAAATCATAGAATTTCTGAAGCAAAAGCTGACAAGATGTATTAAAACTTTAATCGTATTTTAAACCTTTGGTACATTATTTTCAGATACCAAAAAATAATGCTAAAAATAGAAAAGTCATTACAATTGTTTAATGCAGTATAATTTTTCAATGAATCAACATACAGGTCTAATCACTGTAGAATGAAGAATGATACTGTGAGTTGGACCCTCCCTGGTGGCACTCCCTGGTTGGAGCACAGCAGTATGAGGCTGTCTTCAGCCACTGAAGCATAAGTTCAATCCTTAGCCAGGGAGGTGACCCACATGGCATGGCAGACCTCACTTCTCTTGCCTACTGTTCCCCTCAGCAGTGTATTTCAGTACATCAGAACAGTACATCTTCCTGTTCTGCTCCTCTGTCTCTGGTGAGTCCTCTCACCCCCATACCTCTGGTCTGTGCCCCAGTTCTTGTATGCATAAATAAATAAATTTTTAAAAGGAAAAAAAATGCCATGAAAATCAATATAGTATAATATGCATCTGTCAGAAATGTTTAAATAGATTTGTGTTAACTAGGAATATTCTTATACTATTGTGGTAAAAAAAAAATCAAACTGGTGCATACAGAATGAGCTCAACAACATCAGTTCATTGAAAAAACACTGAAAATAGGAAGTACTCTTCTTATCTGAACTTAAGGCTGAAGAAATTTGCAAAGATACATATTTAACAAAATAGAGTAAATTTCTGGGCAAAATGACTTTCAGATAATTTCCCTCTCAATATATTTTTATTTAGCAATAAAATGAATTGTTTTAGTTAAAATAATAGCTTTTAATATTTAGGAAAAAAATCTATGGTGAAATTTGCATTGCAAGTATAGTGGTTCCAACAATAAATGAAAAAAAAGAAATGCACAAGGCAGCATCCCTATCCCTAGTAAGCACTGCAGTGCTACTGTTGTGGGAGAAGATTAAAACAATCAAAATGATCATCAAAGAACTGGATTGAGTAGGTTATGGTACACAAAATAAGGCAGAAAGAAAGAAATATACCACATGTCATCACTCACATGGGAATACAGACAAATAAAGGAATAGGAAAACTAAACCAACAAAAAATCTGACTGTAGAACTGAAGCTAAAAGAGAGAGAGACAGAAAGAGGAGAGCAATGTGGGAAGAAGGCATAGTGGACTAAGGTGGTAGATTATGGGTGTTCTGGTGGTGGGTATGGTATATAATATACATCTGAAAAGGTGTGAACCTTTACCCATAGATTATATACAATGTTGCCAATCACAGTTATCTCAATAAAAACAATTTTTAAAACTTCTTTTTTTTGCATGTAGCAGCCCAGCTTTCCCAGCACTGTTGAACAAACTTTCTTTGTCCTTTACATAGTCTTTGCTCCTCTGTCAAAGATTAGCTGTCCAGAAAGCTGTGGATTTATATCTGGATTTTCTGTTGAACTCCGTGGGTCTATATGTCTGTTCTTGTTCCTCACACCATACACAAAAACCAACTCAAAATGGGTTAAACAACTAGACATAAGACTGAAACCATAAAATATCTAGAAGAAAATATTGGTGAAACACTACATGACATACACCTCAGTAACATTGTTAAAGAAACATCACCCAAAGCAATGATAGTGAAAGAAAGGATAACAGCTGAGACTACATCAAATTTAAGAGCTCTGTACAGCAAAAAACACATACCTAAAACAGATATCCCACTGACTGGGAGAAAATTTTCCCACATAATGTGAATAATAAAGGACTGATCACAAAGATATACAAAGAGTTTACAAAACTCAACAAATATAAAGTGAACAGCCCCATAAAAAAATGGGCAGAACAGCTACAAAGACACTTTTCCAAAGAAGAAATGTATATGGCCAACAGGCACATGAAAACATGTTCATCATCACGTGTAATAAGGGAAATGCAAATCAAAACCACAATAAGATACCACCTCGCACCAGTAAGAATGGCACATAAAAAAAAAAAAAAGGCAACAATAAATGTTGGCGAGGGTGTGGAGAAAAAGGAACTCTTCTTCTACACGGCTGTTGAAATGTAAACTGGTACAACCACTATGGAAAGCTATGGGGTTTCTCAAACTGCTAAAAATACAGCTTCCATATGATCAATTCCAATCCTAGGTATCTACCCAAAAGAATACAAAAACAATAATTGAAAAGGACACCTGCACCCATATGTTTATTGCTGCCCTATTTACAATACGGAAGATGTGGAATCAACCCAAATGCCCAAAAATGATGACTGGATCAAGAAGATGTGGTATATATACGCAATGGAATATTAGTCAGCAATCAAAAGAGATAAACTCATTCTATTTGTGGTAACATAGATAGAACTGGAAAAGATCATGCTTAGTGAAATAAGCCAGAAAGAAAAAGAAAAATACCAGATGGTTTCACTCATAGCTGGAGTGTAAGGGATCCGGGGGGGTGGGGAGGGGGTAAAATAAATAATTGTAATAAAGTAAAAAGGAGCATCAACTAACAATTATAAACCAGACACATTCTATGAGGGAAGATCAAACTGGGGTGGGAAGAGCATATGGGACTATGGTGATGGCACATGGGTGAAGTGGTGGTGGGAAGTCCACAGGGATTACAACTGAGATGAAAAAAATGTAAAAAATGAAGAATGTACAAAATATAATTATAAAAATTGTTTTTATAAAAATGAAAAAAAGCTATCTTCAATATGGAACTGGCAATATCACACTAAATATCCATATACTAAGTATGATACTCTAATGCTTTAAATAAGGATTATCCCTTTATATTCATTCCAATCTTGAGTGATCTAAGGAATATAAGGAAAATGGGGGTGGGAGAGCATATATAGTATGCTATCATTTATTTAAGGACTATAAGTTATCATTATGCCTAATTTTTCTATTTTTAAAAAAGATTTAAGAGGGGAGAGGTTGGGGAATAGGCTCTCTAGGGCAAGGCTGTCTGATAGAGATTTCAACAAGAATGGAAATGTTCTCTTCTGTATATTTAGGCAAGAAATACACATACATGAATTTAAAAAGATACATGTACCTTCACATTTATTGTGCTTCTATTATATTGACCTAAGAGCTGGTCAATATAGTCAAGAGCTGGGAACAACCTAAGTGCACACAAGAGAGAGAGCTGCAATGTATTTATAGACCATGAAATACTAAGTTAGGAAAGAAAGGATGAAATCCTACCATTTGCAATTAACATGGATGGACCTAGAGGGTATTACGTTTAGTGGAATAAGTCAGATGGAGAAAGACAAATACCATATGATTGTACTCACATGTGGTGTATGAAAAAAACATGTGGCATAAACAAAACAGAACAGGAAAACCTGGTAAGATGAATTAGTTGTGTCCAAATTCAACAAGAAAGATGGATAATTCAGGTGAAATGAGTTTTGTATAATGAAAGAAAGAACTGGACTTTAAAAGTGGTAGTTTAATATATATACATGCTGATTTGTAATGATGCACATCTGAAACTTACATGTCATTATATCAATGAAAAAAAAACTCATTAGTCATCAGTTGTAAGACAGGATTGTTTCTACACTATGCAACCAAAATAAATGTGGAAAAACACAGAACAATCATGCTAAAATCAGGTTACAGCCATCAGTCTTATTAACAGCTGGTTTCAAAGTATCACATAACATTTAAATAAAAACAAATTCATACTGAAAAATAAAAATAATGGAAATGTTCTATAATCTGTGCTGCCTAATATGGTAGTTGGCCACATATTATTGTGCACTTGAAATGTGTCCTGTTATGACTGAGTAGTAATCTTTTATTTCTTTGTATTTTAATTAATTTCAAAAACTATATATCCACATACACACACAATGGTGGCTAGTCTATTGAACTATAGGAGGAGAAGAAAGCAGAGCTC